TCCAAAAATGTCTGAGGGACATTTTGAGTTCTGACAGGATAGCAGGGGCTGGCCATGGGGGGAGTTTGCTACCAGAGTTTGGGAATGGTCTGTCAAAAAATACGTGGAGTTTCTTGTGCAATATCAGGATCCCGTAGTGTTTGTTCTGCAAGGCAGCCCCTGGGTCACTGTGAGGGAACAAATTCCTGCAGCTCGAGCAGCAGGGGGTGCTTTAATCCATGTAAAACCCATCCCAGTATCACCATCCTGCACCCCTCTGTGCTCTCCAAATTCCTCAACCCATTTAATGCAAGGCACGGCTCTGCGAGGGCACTTGCTGGGCACTGAGTGCTATGGCACTTAATTGAGGCATGGTTAATTGGAACAATCACTCCAGGCTTTGCATTTCAGGACATTCCTTCTAAGTGCAATTTAATTTGATTATTAACTGGTCAAGAGGTGGGTGAGAGCTGCTTAAAATTACGGATGCAGAATATTTTTATGACCAGAAACCCACATTTCACAGAGCTTATGTTTCAGCAACGTGGTGCCTGCAGTAAAATACTTATTTTAAACCACTAAAACTCTTCCTGCATCTTTTACACCTCAAGGCCATTTCCACTTGGATTTACAGGATTATTGGGCCAAGAAAAGCTGTTTTAATGTGAGGAAAAACCAGGACCCCGAGAGTTCTGCTCACCTGGATGGGGAATATTTTGACTGCAACGTATTCGTTGAGCAGCTGAGCTTTCCACACACACCCAAATCTCCCCCTGGCTTTGATCTCCAGGAGCTGCAGCGGCTTCAGACCCATCAGGGGAGATGGCGGGGGAGGCCCAGGATCCTGCAATCAGGAGAGACCATTAATTAACGCTGCCCTTGTTAATGGCATTAATTCCCATCATCCCTGACAGCGCTACAGATAAAGGGCTGTAAATGGGGAGAGCCTGGGATCAGCCAGCCAAACCCCACTGCAGCAAATCCCAAAGATCCAGGCACAAAGGCCAGCCCTGGGAAATGGGATTTGAGACACCTCAGCAGGGATTGCCACAGGGATGGGACACACAGCAGGACTCAGGGAACCACCTCAGCAGCAGGGAAGGACAGTGGAAATTAGGGAATAATGGAATCAGGTGGGAAAACAAGGCAGAAATTCAAGAGTAATGGAATCAGGTGGGAAAACAAGGCAGAAATTCAAGAGTAATGGAATCAGGTGGGAAAACAAGGCAGAAATTGGGGAATAATGTGATCAGGTGGGAAGCACAGCAGAAGTTAAGGAATAATGGAATCAAGTGGGAAAGCACAGCAGAAATTAAGGAATAATGTGATCAGGTGGGAAAGGAAAGCAGAAATTAAGATATAATGGAATCAGGTGGGAAATGACAGCAGAAATTAAGGAATAATGGAATCAGGTGGGAAATGACAGCAGAAATTAAGGATTAGTCTAATCAGGTGGGAAGAAAGCTCAGCAAAAATTAAGGACTACTGTAACCAGGTGGGAAAGCACAGCAGAAATTAAGGAACAAAGATAATCAAGCTTTACTTGTTACATTTTTGAGAGCTGGAATTGCAATGAGCCCCATGGATGCATTGAAGGTTTCTGTGTTTATCTGAGGTGTGGGACCTCTGAACCCTGCAGATGCACAGCTGGGGTCAGCCCCTCCTGCCCCATTTCCCTGCTCCCAACTTTGCCAGTGAGCTCCTGAAATCCCAGAAATGGGCTGGAATGACACTGCAGAGCTGATCTGCTCCTGTGCTGCAGGACTGGCACAAGTGAGGTGAGACAGAGCTCCCACAGGGCAATCCATGGACTCTTAACCCCATATCCATAACCCCATTCCCATATCCCACACTACAGCCTGGGACCATTCCCCTTCCTGGCAAAGGGGAGGGGACAGTTTATTGCACACCCTGGATTTTCTGTTTTGCTGTGTCACATCAGCTGAACAGAACCAGCAGATTCTCAATTTTATTGCCAAAGCTCTGCTTCCTTCTGGGCTGGCCCTTTCCCTCCAGGTGGGATTAGCGTGTCCCTCTCTAAAAACTCCAACAATCCACCCCAAGTTTTCCAAAATCCTCCAAAACACCCCTTTTTCCTCTATTTTCTCCAAAGAGAAAAGATGTTTTCAAGAGAATGAAAACCACCAGAGGAGATGCTTCTACAAGAGAGAGGAGAGCGCTCAATAACGAGTTAAATGTTTGAGCACTTCCATCAAAACCGTGAAATCCTGTGCAGGTTAAAGACACATTTTGTGACAAACTGTGGGGTTGAGAACCCTTTACTGTGGGGACAATGGAGACAAGTGCTGAGAACACAAGTCCTGAGAGTTTCGGTGCAGGAATCAACATCCACTCTCTGCTTTCTTCTACAGCAACAAATAAATTAAAAAGAACAAGCTCCAGAGAAAGATTCAGTGCAGAGGAACCTCACTGCACAAATTACTAACTAGAAAAAGAATAAACAGCATTTGAAATTCAAATTAGAGACACACTGCAACACTGTCCCCAAAAAGGAGGAAATCCTTTTGTCAATGTGACAGCGACAGGCGCTTGAAGTTGTGGCATCGACATTTGCAGCACAGAAAACCAAGTTTGAGAGTGAAGATTTCCCTCCCTTGGTGCCTTTCATTCCCTGCCAGAACCCTCTTGGAATATTCCAGGCACCAGAGAAAGCAGTGCCCTCAATTTGTAAAACACAAACTGTACTAAATAAATATTTGTAAATCCAGTTTGTTGTTGTTAGAAGAGGAAGTGGGAACGAGATGCTCAAATTTATCCCCCACAGACAACCCTGATTTAATGAACTGCTCGAGTTCAGAACCTGCTGCCTTGTCTGAAGCAGAGGAATTGGTGGGAAATGACCCCAAATCCCCCTTTGCTCTGGTGGCTTGGGTTCCCCTTCCTTCTCACAGCCTCCTCCCAATAAACTGCTGGCATTTGGAAGCACTTGGTGCCTGAATTCTTCCCCAGCCACCAGGAAAACCAAACACCTCCAAGATTTGCTGAACCCAGTTCCAGCATCTCTGCCAAGAGCTGGAAGTGAAAGTGGCAGGGAAACCTGGTGCTTTCCTAATTCCCCATTAGACCACAACACTTCCCATACACCAAATTCCCTATTTCCTACAAATCCCTGGCTCTCCCCACCACATTCCCAGCACCACGTGGGAAGCAGAATTCCTGCTGTTAACTCAACTGCAAAGAAAAGTTTTCCTTTTTTTTTTTTTTTTTTTTTTTTTTTCCCCTTGATTTTTTCTAAGCGCCTTGGTTAAAATCTAACTCCAAACTCTGCAGCTCCAGGGACTGATTATACACAGAAACATTCCCTGACAATATTTCCAAGGAAAATGGTTTAATGTTCCAGAAACCCCATTATTCCTGTGTGGCTTTGGGGTTGATTTCTGTAGTACCAAGGCCACAGTGCCAGAAGGGATGGCAGGGGGATAAATTTGGCTTCCAAATTTCCCAGCTGTCCAAAAATCCAGGGTCCAATTCCCTTTTCCTGCCCTCCCCTCGGACTGAGTCACAGGGGGAAATCTTCCTCCAGGAATGGGGTTCCTTAAGTGTCCCCAAAAATGGGTCTGGAGATCAGAAAGCAGCTCAGCAATTGTGGAACTCAAATCCATGAACAGCAGCTCCGAGATCCAAGGAACTCTGGGAACTCTTTACAGAGGCAAAGTCAGGAAAATACTCAAATATTTAAATTTTTAATACATTGAAACCATTAAATTTTCTTCTAAGCTGCATTTCCAAGGTATTTCAGGTATTAATTAGAGAACTTTAATGATGACAGGAATTGAGCATTTTTATTACACCTCAAATCTCGATGTTTTCAACATTCCATTAAAAAGCGGAGCAGGAATGATCCAATTTGTGAATTAAGTGACTTGGAGTTATAATGAATATAAATAAGTATAAATTATGAATATAAATATCTCCTGGTCAGTGGGAAAAACGAAGAGACGGAGTGGTGAAGGAATGCTTTTCTTTTTTCTCCAGATGATCCATTTTTGTGAGTTCCTGTACCACACAAAACCCCAGATCAGCACGGGGAGACCCCAGAGCCCCAATTTGGTTTTGTCCCAGGGGGGAGATGGGAAGGGAGAGCCAAGGACAAGGTGGGATGTGCCCTTTGCTTCCAGGGAAAGCCGTGCTGGGCTGATGGATCCCCCTGGCCCTGTGCTCCAGGATCCATCCCTGACTGCACATCCTGACCCCAGCACTCTGCAGCTCCAGGGAATTTTAGGAAATCCACAGGCTAAAGGTGCATTTTTAAACCACACATGCTGATGGATGGCTTGTCCAAAATACTGAGAAATCACAATTCAGAGCAAACAACGTCTCCCACATCCCCAGCAAGCCCCAGAGCCAGGAACAAACATCCTCTTACCTCAATCATTATATGAAAGGCGTGCTTGCAGAGAGGGAAAAAACACAGGCAAGAGAAATTACTATTTACACCCGGAATGGGATACAAAAACAGCTTACAGGAGACAAAGTCAATTATTTGTGAGTTAATGACAGGAATCTTCACGGGCACAGCAAAACTTGCCCACACCAGAACACATAATTTAAAACAAGGAAATGCAGTCTTGTTAGTAAGGGAAAATGAGGAAAACAAGATTATCCCATAGAAAATTAACGGGATTCTTTTGTAATTGCACGGAGAAACGGCCACTGCAGGTGTGCGGAGCCGCGGTAGTGCTGGACACGTGGAAGTTCCAGAGGCGAAATTCCAGAGCCCGGGACGGGAACCCCTCCCTGCAGCGCTCCCGCTGCCCGCCAGGGGGCAGCGCCGCGCCAGGGAAACGCCCGCCCTGAAACGGAACCGGACCAGCC